TTTTGGGTCTTGGTTGGCCTTAGTAACGTTAGTCAGTCAGTCAGCCAGTCAGCCAGTCATATATGGTATTTTGTATTTCGTTGTAAATTCGAGAAACCAAAGTACTCAAAAGCCAATGAACCGAAATGTAAAAGTATCTTGACATTGTTACATAAGCACAGTTTCACAGTGTCAACACCCACCCGCATGCATGCATGGATGGCTGGGTGGGTCAATGGCTAAAAAAGGTTAGCAAGTGCCACTTGTGGGGCTGCTGACCGGTGTCCAACTGCTGGGGGTTGAACAATAGAAACTCGAAATAAATACGAAATAAATCTATAAAGTGTCATATGAGCATTGTATGCGTTACGACATTTTAAATAGAATTCAAGGAACTGAAATTTATTTTAAATAACAAGCTTACATATTAAAGTCAAAATATGAAAAAAAAAAAAAAAAAATATTCGCTTTTATTTTTAAAACGAATTTAATTTAAAATGGATTTTAAAAAATAAGGCAGAACATTATATAACATTTTTTTTATGAATTTTATATAAGTTGGTTATTAATCAAGCTTTTAAGGATCTAGAGCAATGCTTTTACAGTTAGCAAAATATATAATTACTTTATGCTACCTCCTCCCCCCTTCTTTTGCATTCCTTCACCTTAGACTTAGAAGATGCCTTCTCATATATAGCTAAATGTTATAAGTGTCTGCCCAGTTTTGAGGCTCATTTGCTTTAATTTAAGTTAAACAGCCAATCACTTTTCCTTTTCCTTCTTTTTCTTCTTTATTTAATACTGCCAAAATGTTGTGTTACGTTCTAATTGCAGTTGGGGGGCTCGTAAAAATAGCTGGCTAGCTGCCTAGCCTAGTCTAGGCCCTGTAGCTCGCTCGCTGCCTATCTGTTCATTCGATTACATTTTTCCGCCACTTAACGGTAAAATTATGCAAATCAGCCCAGACACGCGAGTGCCCTCATACCAAAAACAACATGGCATTTGCTTTGAAATTAGTTTGGAAAGAAACAGGAAAAAGAAGAGAAAAAAACGCCGTGTGTGTGCACCTGTCGGCCTGCAAAACAAAGAGAGAATGACAAAAAATGCAAAGAATATATATACAAAAGACAAATAACAATGTTGCAGCTGAGTGCAATCGACTGCATAATGCTCATGCAAGCTGCAAAGTTCAACAATGAATTTATAAACATTTAATTGATAGATCTAACGGTGGAGCTGGCAAATTGAATAGCTGATCTTGGTTAGAATTAGAATTTAGAATTTGTTTACAATTCTAAAATTTTACCAAAGCAAGGTATACAAAACTCTATGTATACAGTCGAGTCTCGATAGTTCGCAATAAATCGAAAAAATTTCTATACCCCTGGGAAAAATATCATTCTCAATAATTCTCGATAATTTGAATTTGTGTAAATCGAAAAAAAAATTTCGAATGATCGGGATTCTTCTGTATATATATTAAATATCATATTGCTAGTCAGTCAAACTAATATACTCGCTTGACTTTATCAATGTGTATACAAATACATAAATGGAAATAACGTAAGAAAACACCCACCCCAGAGTAAAGTCATTGGAGGTGTTGCCATAGTATTTGTCAGGGGTTGCTAATACACACAAACACACTCAAATACTTACAGTCACACATGAGTTTCGCTGTATCTGCAAATGTATCTGACAGATACATTGCTAGGCGCCGACAGTTACACATGTATTGCAAGTCATTGGGGCATTTAAGGCTAGTTAGCCCAGAGCCCAGAGCCGAGAGCCCACAATCTAGACTCAAATATTGCATGCGAACAATTTTTGGCATTCATTTTCGGTTCTATTGGTATAATATTTGTCGGTCCCAAATGAAAAGCATTCGTTGTCAATCAAACTGCAAAGCAGAGAACATGCCACACATGCCACACCATCAGGAACATGTCTGCAAAATGTGCTGATGAAAAGTTTTTCGAATAGAAAAAAAAAAGAAAAACAAAAAAACTACGGAAATATTAAATAAAAAGGAAGATGAAAAAGAAAAGCCAATAGAGAAAATAAATAACAAAAATTCCATTTGACTTTTAAAACTTTTGAATTTTTGGTCTAATAAAATATGTGAAATGATTGAAAATATGTCGGAAAAATAATTGAATGGAAATAATTGAAATTAAGGAAAAAAAATTATTAATACAGATACAAAATAGAAAATGCCATAGAAATATAAAAATTTTTTAAATATTCTAAAAAGTACCATTAATTTTCTACATTTTTCTATTTTATTTTTACAGCCTATTGAAAATGTAATATAAATTTGAATAGAGAAAAATAACGTAAGAACAATAATATTGCAACTCAATTTTTATCTAATAATGCCTTGTTATGCCTGGTTCATTGAGCTGCAATCAATAAAGTAGAGCAACAATACAGTAGTCACAGCAGTAGAGATAGTAGTAGTAACAGTAGACGTCACAGTAGTAGGAATAGTGATAGTCCGAATAGTTGAAGTAGTAGTTCCGGTAGTAGAAGGAGTAGTAGTCACAGTAATAATCAAAAGTAATAAAAACTATAGTAGTCACAGTTGTAGAAACAGTAGTAGAAATAGGAGTAGTAGTCACAGTAGTAGTCAAAAGTAATAGAAACAGTAGTAGTCACAGTAGAAGAAATAGTAGTAGTAACAGTAGTAGAAACAGTAGTAGAAGTAGTAGCAGTCACAGTAATAGAAATAGTTGTAGTCCCAGCGATAGAAAGAGGAATAGTAGTCACTGTATTAGTCAGAGTAGTAATCAAAACTAGCAGAAATATTGGTAGTCACAGTAGTAGTCACAGTCATAGTCACAGTAGTAGTTACATGAGTAGATCCAATCAAAATGAAGCTCTCAATCACAAAGACTTAAGTATTCTAAAGCAAATTCTAAGAGTTATAATTAAGATAATAATAATTATATAAAATATATTTCTTATCGATTGTATCATATTGCCAAGTCAATTACTATAAACTAGAACGGAATACATTTCCACTTATATAAAATCGTATTGCTTTTAGTCATACTAGTTATAGAACTCTACACAAAGTTTTTTATAAATCGATAAATTCATCTTCTCTTTGCTTCGATCAACTTGATCTGTTTTAGAATAATAGTAAATTACCTTTGCACAGATAATAGATGTATGTCATCCGGTTTTGTTTTGCCTAGGAGAGCCCACAATTCGGGCCATCAATTAGTGGCGTAAGGCCAATGTATCTCATTTAGACAAACAGTGCAAAGACCTCTCCGTTGGGGGATATACAATACTAAAGGGGGTGGGGGAGGTAACGGAAATTATTCATGACTGACCATGATAACAAAGGCAAGCTGAAGGCAAAGGCATCGACAGTGGCAGACTGAATGCAAAGCGTAGCCAAAGAAGATAAATGACCAACAATTAGTCACACCTACGATGACAATCATCGAGAGATTTACAAAATGAAAGGCTATTGAAGCAGGGAGCTGGTCTTTGAGAGATGGGAAATGGTCGATGGTCGATGCTAGATGCTAGATGGTAGATGGTAGAGCACGGCCTGAGCTTGAGGCCGAATTTGAGGCCGATTTCAATTACAATTCCGATTTCGACTTTGATTCTCATTCTGATTCAGATGCTGGACAATGGACAAACTAATGAACATTTTTTGGTCAATAGTGTGTGGGCGTGGCTCAGAGCTATTTGCAGCGCTTAATTGCACACGAGAAAGGGTGTGTGAGTGTCTCACTCCTTCTCTATCTCTCTCTCTCTCTCTGCCTCTGCCTCTTTCCCATTCTCTGGTGTTGATTGACATGTGTGGCGCTTTGTTTCTATCTCCATTTGTGTGTGTGTTTGTGTGTATTTTGATTAGCGGCATGCCATGTCAAACAACAATTTGTAAGAGCGACTGACATTTGAATGATGACATTGGCAGCGCGGCACAGGTGGCGCTTCCGCCTGATACTTGCTTTCGGCACAGCCGGAAAAGGAGCGGGCCAAGCCGAAAAACCCGACGAGGAAATCGTTGGGTTCATAATGTCTCTATTATGACGTGCCAAACAAGCGACAAATTGCATATGGGTAGACAACCGTCTAGACCATAGCGCCGAGGAGGTGTGGCTGACAAAGACATGAAGAAGAAGACGAAAAATGTAAAAAATACCTGTAATAAAAGAAAAACAATTATAATGATAGAACAAGTGTATGTTTTGGTAAATAAAGATAACGCAAAAACAAATGAGACGCTTTCAATCTGCTATACTCGACTGCTTGATGCACAATCAAGGTGGAGAAAGTGGATAAATTGATTGTATTATTGATGTTGGGTTTAGCCTGAATTGATTGAGGTTTGACTGCAGCTCGCTTCAGCAGTAGAGCTGGATGAGTGAAGCTCTAAATCTAGGCATGCATTTTAGTCATGTGCCACGCCGTTAGTACGCATGTCAGAATATGATATACATATACATATATGTACATATCATCAGCTGGAAGTTTATACAATCATAATTTTCCCATTTTTAACTCACATTACTTAAAACCTTACTTTACGAGTGGAAAAAAATTAATATATTTGAAATAT